CGTGACTATTAACACGTGTATCCCTCCGTGTTCCTGATTTTGCGTCAACAGGAAAGGCATAAGATAGTATACGGATATATCCCGGATGCAGAAGAAAAATAAAAGATCAAGAAACCAAAGCGGCAAATAAGGTGTAAGAAATGAAAGTAGAAAAGATAAGTTTTTGTGTATATATATTTATATACATATGTATACATATATATGTATCTCTCTTTCTCTCCCTATATATATATTAGAAAAAAAGAGGGGAAGAAAGCGAGAGGATGTCAGAGATGGTGTGTGCGAGAAAGAGGGGGGGGGCCAGGGAACGATGAACGCAAAGAGAGAGAATTATCATCATGAACACCAGCAGTGATGTTACTTTCACAGCATCTGTAAATACTGTTTACATTAGTACTATGATTCTATATGATTATTTTCGAGAAAAAAACGCAAAATATGCACACGAATGAAAATGTGATAAGTGCCTTTCCATGTAGACCTATTGGACAAATCTTTTCATTAAAAAAAACACGTACTCTGCCATGCTGGAGATATTCATACACAAGTCTTTTGCTCAAGAATACTGATTTCCCCTATACTCCCTCTTATATTCCTGAAAACTGCCCCAAAGTACTAAAAGGTATTCTTAATGACGATTCGTTTGATAGTCATCCCCCGGAATTCTTCGCTCGCAAGAAGCAGGTCACAGACTCGCTTCCGGCTCAACGCGTGCCACAGGCAAGACCTCTGGCCCTCTGAGGCCGTGGACTCGGCTGGCCTCGCTTACAGCTCAGATCTGCCTAAGTTTGGATATGAACCGATAAAACTCGGATCACTGATGAGGTTGTCAATTAAGGTGCATTTACCGATTTAGATCTGTCACTAGTTAAGGTAAGGTTACGAGTTGTGATCCAGTCACCGACTAAGGTCACCAATCAATTAGGATTTACTATGCTTCTTTCCTTTTACTCTCCCTTATTTTGAGTTTTGTTCTACTGTGTGGTTATCTGCTGCAGTTGCACATGAGACTGCTTCATCGTCCTTTTAATTCTAATAGATTTGGACACTGGGCATCGTGGGGATTTGAGGGCACATTCAGTCATATACAAACTTTGGAACAGATTGCCTTCAAAGATTGTAAATCCTTCGACTATTTATAAGTTTAAAAGATTAGCTAATATGTCTTTACTACGAAAAAAAATATTTTTTCTTTCTCTTTTAGCTGTTTTTTTTTTGTTTTGTTTTTTACCTGCACTGACAACTTTGGTGATATGGTGATTTTTTTTTAGTGTGATAGTTTATATGGCTTACCATAATAATAATAATTCTGTCTCCGATGCACAGGAAACTATCGCCCTTACTTCCCCGACCTCCCTGTGTCATGGTGGAAAATGCCCAGACATTCCTGTTTTTTTTTTTTTTTGTCTTATCCTTATACTGTATATTTCAGGTTATGGAATATATGTACATCGGATTTATATATTTAAGAAGTAACCCTAACTACATACTAAAACAATTAAACCTTCTTTAACCATTAGCAATGAGCTAATTTATCAGAATTCTAAATGCCTGAAAGATGACCAGCCTCTGTAAGGCAGAACCGCACACAGCAAACCCTCAAGTGACCCTCACCAGGTGTGAGGGTCACTTCGCCGCAGGTAGGGCGAAAGGCTTTTCATGACCCATACTGAACTCTGTCGCCTCAGTCTCCAGTGGTACTAGAAGCGGTTTAGTGAACCACGGAATTCATATAAAAAATCTCGGCATTACATTCAAATAGTTTTTGGCTGATATGGTCACAACGATACCTCAATTTAATTGAAAAGTACATATTATACTATATGCTTAGATGGAAGTTTAGTAATTACTATATTAGTGCCATAAATATACGTGTAATTCTAATCTACAAATGTATATACATTTGCTTTACCTACTCTAATCTTCATAAAAAGCTGACATCCATTAAATTCTTAAAAAAAAAAAAAAAAAAACACGTACTCTGCCATGCTGGAGATATTCATACACAAGTCTTTTGCTCAAGAATACTGACTTCCCCTATACTCCCTCTTATAATATTCCTGAAAACTGCCCCACAGTACTGGGAGGTATTCTTAATGACGATTCGATTGAAAGTCATCCCCCGGAATTCTTCGCTCGCAAGAAGCGGGTCACAGACTCGCTTCCCGCTCAACGCGTGCCACAGGCAAGACCTCTGGCCCTCTGAGGCCGTGGACTCGGCTGGCCTCGCTTACAGCTCAGATCTGCCTGAGTTTGGATATGAACCGATAAAACTCGGATCACTGATGAGGTTGTCAATTAAGGTGCATTTACCGATTTAGATCTGTCACTAGTTAAGGTAAGGTTACGAGTTGTGATCCAGTCACCGACTAAGGTCACCAATCAATTAGGATTTACTATGCTTCTTTCCTTTTACTCTCCCTTATTTTGAGTTTTGTTCTACTGTGTGGTTATCTGCTGCAGTTGCACATGAGACTGCTTCATCGTTCTTTTAATTCTAATAGATTTGGACACTGGGCATAGTGGGGATTTGAGGGCACATTCAGTCATATACAAGCTTGGAACAGATTGCCTTCAAGCATTGTAAATCTTTCGACTATTTGTAAGTTTAAAAGATTAGCTAATGTCTTTACTACGAAAAAAAAATCTTTCTCTCTTAGCTGTTTTTTTTTTTTACCTGCACTGACAACTTTGGTAATATGGTGATTTTTTTTTAGTGTGATAGTTTATATGGCTTACCATAACGATAATAATTCTGTCTCAGCGATGCACAGGAAACTCTCGCCTTTACTTTCCCGATCTTCCTGTGTCATGGTGGAAAATCCCCAGACATTCCTTTTTTTTTTTGTCCTATCCATATACTGTATATTTCAGGTTATGAAATATATGTACATCGGATTTATATATTCAAGAAGTAACCCTAACTACATACTAAAACAATTAAACCTTCTTTAACCATTAGCAATGAGCTAATTCATCAGAATTCTAAATGCCTGAAAGATGACCACCCTCTGTAAGGCAGAACCGCACACAGCAAACCCTCAAGTGACCCTCACCAGGTGTGAGGGTCACTTC